GTCATTTTCATTATTAACATTATCATTATTATCATTATTACTATTATCATTACTTTTTTCATTATCATTATCTTTACCATTTTCATCATCATTATTATCATGATAATCGTTATTATCATTAGTATCACTATTATCATAATTTCATCGCTATCTTAAAGTTTCACATATACACAAACATGTTCGTTTTTCTAACTGAATTTCACACATGTCTACCCATTTATCAATTCTTTATTATTACGATTTTCTCTTAATTCGCCCTTTGGGAAAAGCTACTCACGGCCATAGGTACTCAATTACTCACCACATGACGCAGCAGGAGAGAGAACAGACACACACGCACACGATCACAGGGATTCGGTTACAACAAGCAGGGAAATTCTGGTGGGAATTATATACTCTTTGCTCCGCCCACTCTAAGCCCCGCCCCCTTGTTACTTCTGTCTCTCCTTCCTATTCATCTTTTCCTCTTCTCTGTTTCATTCTTTATGTAGCATGTCCGTTTATGCTCCTTTATCGTGCTTTGTTTTGTCTTCTCTGTCTTGTTTATCATTATCATTATTATTTATTATTATTATTATTTATTATTATACTATCTCGGCTTCCAGAGCATCTTTCGGGCATTCGTTCTCTCCTTCTCTTAGCTCTTATTTTTCCCTTTTTTCCCTTGCCCCATTTTCTTTCCGTTTACTACTTCTCCTCCTCCTCCTCTTCATTTTCTTCTTCTAATTCCATTCGCTTTTGTTTTATCTGTTTTTATTGTTGTTCTAATTCTTGCTCGTCCTCCTCCTCTACCTCTTTTTATAATTTTCTTCTTTCATATTCTCTTATTCATCATCTTTCTTTTTTCTCACCCTCTTGCACTACCTCTTCCTCGTCCTCGTCATCTTCCTCGCCAACCTCCTCTTCCTCTTTTTAATTTTCACTATTTTCTTCGTCTTCCTTCTTCTTTTTCAGTTCTTTCGCTTTTCTCATCCTCGTGTACCACCTCCTCCTCTTCTTATTCTGATTCTCATGTTTTTCCTCCTCGTCCTCTTCCTTCTCTTCTCCTCTTCCTATGTTTCACTTACATACTTTCTCTCCCTTCTTTCTTATGTTTTTCTTTCTCTTTCTCTTTTCTCATCCTCCTCAACCTCCTTTTCTTATTCTTATTCTCATATTTTTTATCATTTTTGTCCTCTTCCTCGCCATTCTCCTCTTCCTCTTTTTCACTTTCATCCTTTTCTTCTCCTTCCTTACTATTCTCCTCTTCTTCCTCTTGGTCTTTTCCCATCTCCCTACACCACCTCCTCTTATCATTATTATTGTTATTCTCATTTTCCTCCTCCTCCTCGCCTTCCTCCTCATTGCCCTCGTCCTCCTCTTCCTCCTACCCTCCTCGTCCTCCTCGCTCTCCTAATCTTCCTCCTCTCCTCTCTACCCTTCTCTCCTTCGCCCTCCCTCCTCCTCCTCCTCTCCCCTCGCCCTCCAATTCCTCCTCCTCCTACCCTCATACTCCTCCTCCTCGCCTTCATCCTCATTGCCCTCCTCCTCCTCGCCCTCCTCTTCCTCTTCCTCCTACCCTCCTCGCCCTCTCCTCTTCCTCCCTCCTCGCTCTTCCTCTCGTCCTCCTCGCTTCCTATCTTCCTTCCTCCTCTCCCTCCTACCCTCCTCTTCCTCATCCTCGCCCTCCAATTCCTCCTCCTCCTCCTCCTCCTCCTCGCCCTCCCTCATTACTCAGGACCGCTAATGACCAAGTTATCACGTGTGCCTTATCTTTTATCCTTCCCTTTGAGAACCGTTACCTCCTCCCTAACGACCCATGGCAAGCGAGACCCAGCCCAGGCCTGCGGCTGGACAATGTCCTGCTCTTTCCTCTCCCTCTCCACACGCACGTAAACACGAGGGAGAACTAAATAAAAGGGGAGAGAAAAGAAAAGAAAAAATAATGAAAAGTGGATGCAAGGCAAAACTAAGGAAAAGAAGAAAACAATAAAAGATGATGAAAAGTGGAATAATAACAAAAGAGATTTGAAATGATAATAGATACAAACAATGCAGCCCCCCTCCAAAAAAAAGGAAGAGGAATAAAATCATAATTAAAAAAAATCTTTCACCCAACGAAAATTTGAAGAAAAAATCACTTGCACAAACACGAAAGCGAAGTAGAGTTAAGAGAAGAAAGAAAGAAAGATTCGAAAGAATGAAAGAAAATTGATGACTCCCTCACCCCTCAACGAAAAAAAAAAAACAGTGGCAAAAAGTATTAATCTCTCTTTTTTATACACATACTCCCTATCACCTTTGATAACTGATGTGGGGAAAACACCGAGGGAAAATACATGTCCATTGTTTTAGCCTTCTTTTGCGCGGCCCATAAAAGTGTGAATAAAAGAACGAGATTAATGGAATAACGAGAAAGTGATTACCATCTGCTTCCTCTTTTTAAAGTCTAATATCGCAGATGGATGGATCGGTGGATGGATGGAGGGATGGATACATAGATAAATGAAGGGGGGAGGGAGAGAGGCATATGTCGATGGATGAATGGATGGATGGATGGATACATACATAGGTGGATGGATGAATGGATGGATGGACGGAGGCTCTGGTCAGAAGTAAGATGTGAAGGTCACGGAAATGGCTAATTTCCGGTAAATGAATGGAGTCGAAAAAGAAGTATGAAGAGAGAGAGAGAGAGAGAGAGAGAGAGAGAGAGAGACAAAGAGAGAGCGGGAAGAAGAAATTAAGACAGCGAGAAGAAAGAGAGTAAGAGGGAAGGAGAGAAAAAGAAAGAGACGGAATATATATATATATATATATATATATATATATAATATATATATATATATATATATATATATATATATATATATATATATATATATATATATATATATTACCGTAGATAAGGATATTGATGATAATAGTTATTATGATCATATCATAACTGCCGTCACCGTTGTACTATCATTATTATTACCATTATCATCATAAATATTAATATTATTACTATCACTATTTCTATTATTACTATTATTGTTATTTTCATTATCATTATTATTATTACTACTAGTTTAATTATTATTGTTATCATTATTATCATTACTATTATTACCATTATTATTTTGATTACTATTAGTAATAGCAATTGATATTATCATTGCCATTATTAATATCATCATTGTTATAATTGTTATAATAATTATCATCATCGTCGTCGTTATCATTATTATCATTATCATAATTCCTCTTATTGTTACTTTTATTCTCTTTCTTACCATTTTTCTTCTTCTTGCTCTTATCATTATTATTTATGTTTTTATCCTCATTATTACTATCATTATCATTATTATCAATGATATCATCATCATTAATATCATTAATATCAATATCATTATCATTATTATTATTGTTATTATCATTGCTATCATTATTATCATAATTACTATTAATGCCATTATTATTATCAACATTATTATCAATAACAATAATATTATTATTATCATTATTTATGTCATCATTGTTATTATTACCATAATAATTGTTATTACTATTATCATCATCATCATCATTATTATCAATTATTATCATAATCATTATTATTGTTATTGATACTTTTATTATCTTTCTAATCATCTTTATCATTATCATTATTATCATCATTGTTGTTGTTTTTTGTATTATTGTCATTATTACTATTATTATTATCATTATATTTTTTCTTAGTATTATTATCATTATCACTAATAGCATTATCATTACCATCGTTACTATTGTTATCATATTATATTATCATTGATATTATCATTATCATTATTATTATCAATATTACTATCACTAGCATTATCATTGTAATTATTCTTATTATCATTATTTTTTATATTTATTATTATTATCATTATTACTATTATCATTATCATTATTATCATTATCGTTATTTTCATTATTATTATGAGCATTATCATCATCGTCAACTATTACCATTATTATTATTATCATTATTATTATTATTACCATTACCATAGTTCTCGCTATTATAATTATATCTTTATGGTTATCATTATTATTATCATCATCATGATTATCCACATTATCATTGTTATTATCATCAATATCACCATATTACTATCACTATCATTATCATTATTATTATCATTATCATCATAATTACTATCATCATATTTTTAAGTGTTAGGTAAGTCTTATTATGATTATTGCTACTCTTCTTCTTACTATCATTCTTATTATTATCATTATTGTTATTGTTATTATTAGTAACTTTATCATTATGCATCATCATCACTGTTATCATTATCATCATCATTATTATTATGATTATTAACACAATCATTTTTCTCATTATCATCATCATCCTTATCATTATTAATATTTTTATTATCATTATCATAATCAGTCTTAATATCATTATAATTCTTGTTATTGTTATCATTATTATCAGCATTGCAATTATCATTGTCATTATTTCTAGTAGAAGCAGTAGTAGTATATTGTCACTGTTATTATCATTATCATTATTATTATCAATACTATAATTATTACTATTACCATTATCGTAATAATTTTTCTCATCTTCATAATTATTATTACTATAATTGTCATCATTATTACTAGCATTACAGTTATCGAGACTAATATTATCAACATAAAGATGATATCATAACCGTCACCGTCTGCATTAATACTGTTCCATTACGTTCATAATGATAATGATAATAATCATGAAGACTATCACCACTGTCACTGCTATTGTCATAATCTTCTGTGATTACTGTGGCTATCGTTACCTATATGCACATTACAATTATTAGCAAATCACCATTGTTATTTTAAACATTAGAGCCCTCTCATTTCCTCTGTCTTGCTCTCCTCGTGGATTTTATCTCTCAACTTTGTCTTTGCAATTTTGCGTCTAAGTCTTGAGTTGAGTTGACAAGTGCATGATGGCAACTTTTTCCAATCAGCAGATCAAAAGACCAGAAGATTCGTCAATCATCCGAATAGTCCTGATTATATCGTAAGAGTAAAGGTGGGAGTAAAGGCTGTTGGGAGTGCTTCTGTTTTTGTTTTTGTTTTCTTCGCCTATTTGTTTTTTTATTGCATTTATTTGTGTATACAGGATTAATATCAGTATCTCTGCTAATGCTTTGCGGAACTTCAATTAACTCACGCCAATTATTTCCTTGCATAATTAGGCAGAAAGGTAATTATTTACTAATGTAAACGTCAGTTTACATTTTCACGATCATGGGTTTGAACCAAGACATTTTCCTGTGTTTATAAGGACTTCGTGTATATTGGATCTTTTTAGTTGTTTCAATTTTAAAAAAGGTGTCTTGGCTCTTTGTTGAATATATATATATATATATAT